TTAGAGCTATTTATAACAAAAAACTAAGGTCATCATATCTTTAAATTTGGAGTAACACTGATTGAGAGTAAAAATTAACCAAATTTTTAAATGCTTCAGGAAAGGAATGGTGCTCTATATAATTGTGTCACAGAGGACTATAAAGTCAGGAAAACCCTTTCCTTCTCAACATCTAAAGCTGAGCATCACTAGAGTTTTGGTTTGGTATTAAGAATGTATCTCTTGAGAAGATGTATTCAAAGTTTTTGAGTCAAATAAATTTTTCAGCCTGTGTTCCTTGAACCTTTGGAATGAGAATTATGTTTTTTAGACATAATCTATTATAGGTCATTTTCCACTGGGACCAATGGGGAGAGAGTTAATATAAGCATATGTGTAGTGGGTCTGTTCCAGATTTTCTTGAGAGTGATTTGTGTACTTTTTTGATCTTTGTGAGGTGTTTATTCAGACTCTTGTTGTCCTCATAAGAAGCTGAAATATTCTAGCCACTTGTTTTCCTAAAGACATTTAAAGAAAATGATTTTCTTATGCTTTGTGAAAAGTAAGATCAATATAACTGTAGGGAATCTTCTACAGTATAAATACTGATTTGTGGTTATGTGCTTGTCAAGGCTTCTCCACTTGCCCCAGTCTTTGGGTGGGAACTTTGATTTGTATGTAGTTAGTTGAGTAAGTTAAGAGAATAACAACCCTATACATATTTTTTTTTGTTTTTAAGAAATCATCATATATTTTGTATTACATGAAAAGTACATATGTAGGTATGTAATTGTCTTTCCTATGCTTCCTTTATTCTCTCTTTTCCAATGTGTTTCCTAACTTAAATGGGAACTGTTTTAGTTAGCTTAGCAACATTGTGATCAAAATATGCAAGAACAGCTATGGGGGAAAATGTATTTGGGGATCATGGTTTCAGAAATTTTTGTTTATTGATAGTGAAGTGGATAGTGATGGAGGAAAGCAACTCACCTCGTGGTGGTCAGGAAGCAGAGAGAGAAAGCCCAAGAAGGGGCCTGTTGGGAAGAACAATTCTTCCAGGATGTAATCCTCAGTGACCCATCTCCTCCATCCATGCCCCATAGTTACCATCCAATCAGTCCATGCAAAGTAGGATGGACTGATTAGGTTATAGCTCTCACAGTCCAATCACTTTACTTCTGAAAGTTCCTGCATTAATATAGGAGTTTTGGGGGGCACCTTATATCCAAATCTTAACAGAAGCTGTTCAAGAGCACTTGCTTTTTTCTTAAGAGTGAGGTGGGATCTAAAGTGAACTTGTGCCTTTACCACATAAATCAATGCTTTCAAAATGTAACATCAGAAAAGAGATATGATATATGGAATATTCTACCTCAGGCATGGTCTTATAAACAAATGGCTACTTGTGCCAAAGGCCAATGTCTCGGCTTGGCACCAGAATCATGAGCCACCACACACCTTTGTAGGTTCAAACAGCAATTCTTTATTCCCGCTCTC